AAGTATTGAGAAACTATTGTTATTGACCAAATACTTATTTTCCACCATAATTTGCAAATAAATTCATTAAAAATCCTACAATGTGATTTTCTGGATTTTTTCTCTCTCATTTTGTCTGTCATAGTTGACGTGTACCTATGATGAAAATTACATGCCTCTCTCATCTTTTTAAGTGGGAGAACTTGCACAATTGGTGGCTGACTAAATACTTTTTTCCCCCACTGTGTGTATATATATATATATATATACTACCAGTCAAAGGTTTGGACACACCTACTTATTCAAGAGTTTTTCTTTACTTTTTCTTTGTTTTACAATGTAGAATAATAGTGGTTTGGGCTTAGTGGGACTATCATTTTTCAACAGGACAATGACCCAACACACCTCCAGGCTGTGTAAGGGCTATTTTACCAAGAAGGAGAGTGATGGAGTGCTGCATCAGATGACCTGGCCTCCACAATCCCCCGACCTCAACCCAATTGAGATGGTTTGGGTTGAGTCGGACGGCAGAGTGAAGGAAAAGCAGCCAACAAGTGCTCAGCATATGTGGGAACTCCTTCAAGACTGTTGGAAAAGCATTCCAGGTGAAGCTGGTTGAGAGAATGCCAAGAGTGTGCAAAGCTGTCATCAAGGCAAAAGGTGGCTATTTGAAGAATCTCAAATATAAAATATATTTTGATTTGTTTAACACTTATTTGGTTACTACATGATTCAATATGTGTTATTTCATAGTTTTGATGTCTTCACTACTATTCTACAATGTAGAAAATAATAAAAAAAAAAAAAAAAAAACTTGAATGAGTAGATGTGTCCAAACTTGACTGGTACTGTACAGTGAGGGAAAAAAGTATTTGATCCCCTGCTGATTTTGTACGTTTGCCCACTGACAAATAAATTATCAGTCTATAATTTTAATGGTAGGTTTATTTGAACAGTGAGAGACAGAATAACAACAACAAAATCCAGAATAACGCATGTCAAAAATGTTATAAATTGATTTGCATTTTAATGAGGGAAATAAGTATTTGACCCCCTCTCAATCAGAAAAATTTCTGGCTTCCAGGTATCTTTTATACAGGTAACGAGCTGAGATTAGGAGCACACTTTTAAAGGGAGTGCTCCTAATCTCAGTTTGTTACCTGTATAAAAGACACCTGTCCACAGAAGCAATCAATCAATCAGATTCCAAACTCTCCACCATGGCCAAGACCAAAGAGCTCTCCAAGGATGTCAGGGACAAGATTGTAGACCTACACAAGGCTGGAATGGGCTACAAGACCATCACCAAGCAGCTTGGTGAGAAGGTGACAACATTTGGTGCGATTATTCGCAAATGGAAGAAACACAAAATAACTGTCAATCTTCCTCGGCCTGGGGCTCCATGTAAGATCTCACCTCGTGGAGTTGCAATGATCATGAGAACGGTGAGGAATCAGCCCAGAACTACACGGGAGGATCTTGTCAATGATCTCAAAGGAGCTGGGACGATAGTCACCAATCAATTTGTTTTAACACACTAAGCCGTGAAGGACTGAAATCCTGCAGCGCCTGCAAGGTCCCCCTGCTCAAGAAAGCACATATACAGGGCCGTCTGAAGTTTGCCAATGAACATCTGAATGATTCAGAGGAGAACTGGGTGAAAGTGTTGTGGTCAGATGAGACCAAAATCGAGCTCTTTGGCATCAACTCAACTCGCCGTGTTTGGAGGAGGAGGAATGCTGCCTATGACCCCAAAAACACCATCCCCACCGTCAAACATGGAGGTGGAAACATTATGCTTTGGGGGTGTTTTTCTGCTAAGGGGACAGGACAACTTCACCGCATCAAAGGGACGATGGACGGGGCCATGTACCGTCAAATATTGGGTGAGAACCTCCTTCCCACAGCCAGGGCATTGAAAATGGGTCGTGGATGGGTATTCCAGCATGACAATGACCCAAAACACACGGCCAAGGCAACAAAGGAGTGGCTCAAGAAGGAGCACATTAAGGTCCTGGAGTGGCCTAGCCAGTCTCCAGACCTTAATCCCATAGAAAATCTGTGGAGGGAGCTGAAGGTATGAGTTGCCAAACGTCAGCCTCGAAACCTTAATGACTTGGAGAAGATCTGCAAAGAGGAGTGGAACAAAATCCCTCCTGAGATGTGTGCAAACCTGGTGGCCAACTACAAGAAACGTCTGACCTCTGTGATTGCCAACAAGTGCTTTGCCATCAAGTACTAAGTCATGTTTTGCAGAGGGGTCAAATACTTTTTTCCCTCATTAAAATGCAAATCAATTTATAACATTTTTGACATGTGTTTTTCTGGATTTTTTGTTGTTGTTATTCTGTCTCTCACTGTTCAAATAAACCTACCATTAAAATGATAGACTAATCATGTCTTTGTCAATGGGCAAACGTACAAAACCAGCAGGGATCAAATACTTTTTTCCCTCACTGTATATATGATGGTCAAGGTGAATGACAAAGTGCGAAGGCTGTTGCTGTACTGCTGCTGCTGACACAACAGACAAACAGACAGACAATAAACCCACACTGCTCTCTACAGAATACCTGGTCCTACTACAATACTGCAGAACCTCACATTTTGTAGCTGGAACACTGCAGAACTGTGTGCGTGCATGTGGAAGTGTGACTCAGTGTTAGGGAGTTTCAGGAAGTGTGTCACTCTCAAAGGATGTTTATTCTGCTAAATCTCTAACATCTCCTTCTCATTTCCAAGCAGAAGTGGTAGAGGGAGCCTGTGGTGCAGTGTCTGAGTCAGACTAGGCCTAATTACGTTTTAATGTTAGAGTAGCGGACTAACAGCCCGCTATGGGCTCCCTTCGTAGTGAATGGAAATCTCTGTGTGGTCTTGGGCAATTGGGTTTGCCTGTGTTGGTGTATGTTTGTTTGTGTGTGTTGTGTGTTTCCATTCATTTGTGTATACACAACATACACACCAGTTTGTTTCTTGTGTGTGTGTGTGTGAGCTAGACAACCCAGAGACTAATTTCAGTGGATTGTTTTATAAACATGTTTTTTTCCTTTGCTGCGGTAGTGGGGGATGGGAGAGGAGATGAGGAGGACGATAATCAAAGGAGGAGGGGTAATGGGAGAAGGGGGGGGATACAATTATTATTTTCTTTTTTTTGTTCAGTGAATTGAATTAGCCTAGCTCAGTCAGCGCTGTGTCTGTAGTTCAAAGGAGCATCTTTATTATGACATACTCCTAGTCTTAGGCTAGCTAGTCTCTAAAGGTCATGTTTAGGAGGCATGAAACAGGTAAAATGTTTTTGCTATGGTGTGCCCTCCTCTGCTGAACACCACCCTTCTAACATATATACACTGCCTAGCTAGGGGTTGTTTCTGGACTGGGCTTCAATACACGCACAAACACACATCCTCCCTGTCCTCTATAGTGTGCTAGTCTAGCGGCAGTTTCCTGTCAGTGCCCTTGGCTTTCTGTATGTCTCTGTCACAGCGTCACAGCCCAATATAGCTCAGCCAAAGTTAGCACACACTCACACACTCTGTTTCCCCTTGCCACTGGTATAGAGGATCCACCTGCTCCAGAGTTTACCCCCATGGGCCACAGTGTAACCCCAGATCATGTATCTGTGGTGGGTACAGAGTAGACTCAAAGCCTGTCTTCTAGGATGTGCATCTTTCCCTTTCAAGATGATTCGATATGTATTTAGATACATGGGCTCCGATACGTTTTAGTTTGAAACGATTCGGTGCGAATCGGTTAGATTTTTATTTTATTTAACCTTTATTTAACTAGGCAAGTCAGTTAAGAACAAATTCTTACTTACAATGACGGCCTACCCCGGCCAAACCCGGACGACGCTGGGCCAATTGTGTGCCGCCCTATGGGAATCCCAATCACGGCCGGGTTGTGATACAGCCTGGAATCGAACCAGGGTCTGTAGTGACGCCTCTAGCACTGAGTGCCTTAGACCGCTGTGCCACTCGGAAGCCCAGAGTGATTAGAGAACGAATCTATGCTATTTGGTTCGATACTATTCGATGCACTAACATTTGTTGCATGAACGCATTCATTTTCCATTCTAAATTAAAATCTGCTGCTGATGGAGCTCCTGGGCTGGGCCTCTCTGAGCTGGATCTGTGTGTGTGTGTGTTAAATCCACTTCAATTAGTGTAGATGAAGGGGAGGAGATAGGTTAAAGAAGGATTTTTAAACCTTGAGACAATTGACACATGTATTATGTGTTCCATTCAGAGTATTGAATGGGCAAGACAAAACATTTAAGACCCTTTGAACGGGGTATGGTAGTAGGTAACCGGCGCACCGGTTTGTGTCAAGAACTGCAACGCTGCTGGATTTTTCATTCTTAAAATAAAATATTCTGTAAGCCCCGTTCAGCAAGTATAGCCAGATGAAAGTTGTCTCAGGTAGCTTACTTTTATTTCCAGTAAAACACCATTTGCAACGGCGCATAGATAATAACCTAGCAAATTACAAAGGTTGTCACTCAACTACTAAAGCCTAATATCACGCAAGCCATTTTAGCATTTGAATGCTGAAGGTGCTGCGCAGATGTGGAAGATCAGGAACAGGCCGCCTACCCCGCCTTGGCCAGCGTGTGAAGCTGGGCACAGGGCGCAGTTTGACTGAGCGACTGATATTGCCTGGGGATGTTCTGCATGCAACATGACCTGTAGATCAATGACTGTTCACATTTAGGAGAGAACCCATCAGTTATTTTCAGAAGATAGAAAGAATGTAAAATTAGCCCCAAAAAATTGTGAACCTACAATTCGTAATGTTTGAATCGATTTTCAGACCGATGTGTGCTACATTTGGATGGGTTTGCGGTCCGTGTACTGATGCACTTGTATCTTAAACATTTGAATCTGGGTCTGATGCATATCGGTGAATCATTACATCCTTACTGTCTTCCTGTCAACTTTACTGTGTGTGTGTGTGTGTGGTGTTGTGTTATTGTTGGGCTACGTGTGTTAACTCTCTATGTTTGCATCTCTGTCTGTGTGCAGGTATCCGCTACAGTGAAGAGGTGTCTGTTGATGAGGTGAAGGCTCTGGCCTCTCTGATGACATACAAGTGTGCCGTGGTTGGTAAGTCCCTCTCCTCTCTATGTTCACATCTCATTCATGCCTTCATGCTCCTGAATTCATGCAAGTATACACACTGATCTGAGAGATTTCTTTATTGGCATTTTCAGAGAGCTGTTTTCAAAGCAATGAAGTGTGTGTTTGTTTGTGTGTGTGTGTGTGTGTGTGTGTGTGTGTGTGTTCTTAAGCTCACATTTTTAAGCTTTATTCTTTCTCTCCAGATGTACCCTTCGGAGGGGCTAAAGCTGGTGTCAAGATCAACGTAAAAAATTACTCTGTAAGTCCCTCAGACACGCACAAAGACACCCGCATACAGTGCATTCAGAAAGGATTCAGACCCCTTGACTTTTTTCACATTATTCTAAAATGGATAAAATAGTTTTTTCCCCTCATCAATCTACACACAATACCCCATAATGACAAAGCGAAAACAGGTTGTAATTAAAAAATAAAACCCAAAAAATAAAACGGAAATACCTTATTTACATGAGTATTCAGTCCCTTTGCTATGACTCTTGAAATTGAGATCAGGTGCATCCTTTTTCCATTGATTATCCTTGAGATGTTTCTACAACTTGATTGGAGTCCACCTAAATTGATTGGACATGATTTGGAAAGGCACACACCTGTCTATACAGTGCATTCGGAAAGTATTCAGACCCCTTGACTTTTTCTACATTTTGTTACGTTACAGCCTTATTCTAAAATGAATTAAATTGTTTTTTTCCCTCATCAATCTACACACAATACCCCATAATGACAAAGCAAAAACAGGTTCTTAGAAAGTTTTGCTAATGTATTACAAATTAAACACTGAAATATCACATTTACATAAGTATTCAGACCCTTTACTCAGTACTTTGTTGATAAGAGCGTCTGCTATATGATGTAAATGTAAATGAAGCACCTTTGGCAGCGATTACAGCCTTGAGTCTTCTTGGGTATGACGCTACAAGCTTGGCACACCTGTATTTGGGGAGTTTCTCCCATTCCTCTCTGCAGATCCTCTCAAGCTCTGTGAGGTTGGATGGGGAGCGTTGCTGCACAGCTTTTTTCAGGTCTCTCCAGAGATGTTCAATCGGGTTCAAGTCTGGGCTCTGGCTGGGCCACTCAAGGACATTCAGAGACTTGTCCCGAAGCCACTCCTGCGTTGTCTTGGCTGTGTGCTTAGGGTCGTTGTCCTGTTGGAAGGTGAACCTTCGCCCCAGTCTGAGGTCCTGAGCACTCTGGAGCAGGTTTTCATCAAGGATCTCGCTATACTTTGCTCCGTTGTGGCCGTTGTTGCTCCTAGACGTTTCCACTTCACAATAACAGCACTTACAGTTGACCGGGGCAACTCTAGCAGGGCATAAATTTGACAAACTGACTTGTTGGAAAGGTGGCGTCCTATGACGGTGCCACGTTGAAGGTCACTGAGCTTGTCAGTAAGGCCATTCTACTGCCAATGTTTGTCTATGGAGATTGCATGGCTGTGTGCTCGATTTTATACACCTGTCAGCAACGGGTGTGCCTGAAATAAATGAATCTACTAATTTGAAGGGGTGTCCACATACTTTTGTATATGTAGTGTAGATAGATACTGGTGTGTATGTGTGTCTACTGGGGCTGACCCCATTTAGTCGACTGGTCGATTGTTTGGTTGATAGGCTGGCTGTTGGTCGACCAAGATTTAGTAGAGCAGATTCACGCCTGTCTGAGTGGACTTATCCATTGCAGAGGCCGTGGGGATGGCACAGTAGATCACTGTAAGACGTGCTGCTGAAATTGTATATGGTTATATTATGTAAGAACAATGGTGCACCACTAATAAAAATATTATTATTTTATAACAAATGCGCTTTCTCCCACATTGGATAGCGGTCGCTGTCTACGGTTCTGAAACATCAGTCTGCTGTTGATTTGGTGCCTTTTCCTAGACCATGTTGCAACGTGCATACAAGTAAAGTTAACCAGCATATTGGTGTTGAGAACAATGCGGCGGAGGCAGCAGTGGAGTTTGACGACGAGAAAACAGCCCTTGCCTTAATTGTCTAAGAAAAATGATTAGAGAGGAATCCAACTTAATTAGGTCTATAATCAATAGCCCAACTGTTAAATGTGCCTGACTTTATTAGACACAAAGGAAACCCTTCTCTCTCTCCTTGTGTACACTGTGATCAATAATTTATCTTTATATCTCCCCTTTCTTTTTTTCTCTCTCCAACGCTCTCTCTCTCTCCTCTCTTTCCCTCTCTCTCCTTGTAACGTGTACGGTGGGAGTCAGGAAGCAAGTACAGGGAGTGAATTTCATAATAAATGGAACAAGGAACAAAACAAGAGAACCTGAGTAGTGTACAGACATGAATCAACAGAACAGAATCAATAAGTCCTAGGGAAGGAACCAAAGGGAGTGACATACAGGGGAGGTAGGCTCGGCAGGGAGTATATGTGACACTCCTCTCAATTCAGTTACATTCAAAGGGGCTTTATTGGCATGGGAAACGTGTTTACATTGCCAAAGCAAGTGAAATAAACAATAAACAAACGTGAGAACACAAAACAAAATCAACAAAAAACTATTAGAAATGAAAAGTAAGCCTTTCTCTCTCTCTCTCTCTCTCTCTCCAGGACAATGAGCTGGAGAAGATCACTAGGAGGTTTACCATTGAGTTGGCCAAGAAAGGCTTCATCGGTAAGTGTGACTGTGTGCCTCACACAGCCTTATGTAGCCAGTTGTCCCCTATGATCCTGGATGCTAATGTCTGTGATGTGTTCACTCAAAACACATAGAGATGTCTCTCCCTTACGTTTAATAATAGTGATGGGGTAGTAGGCCCCTCTTCCAGTCAGTCAGCTCCTCCCCCTTCCTCCCTCCCTCTGTCCAGTTCTGTTTTTGGACGTGTCTTCTTGGTGTTGGGGCCTAGTGAACAAATAAGAATGTCCCTCTACATACCACATCCTGTTTATACCACAGAGAGGGAGAGAGTGTGGTATTTAGAAATGTCTCTCTGCCATCAGAGAATAGTGGGCATTCAGAAACCTCAAGTCAGCCACTGTACAGTATTAAACAAATAGTAAGCATATACTGTAGAAGCTAACTAGTTGGTGTAAATTTAGAATATGGACACGTATAGGATTTATTAATACGTTTATCTCAAACGTGTGTGTACGGGAGAGAGAAAGAAATATGTAGGGTGTGTGTACATGCTTTCCTTCCTCACATATACCTTCACTCTCCTTCCCCCTCCTCCCCTCAGGGCCAGGTATTGATGTTCCTGCTCCTGACATGAGCACTGGAGAGAGAGAGATGTCCTGGATCGCTGACACATACGCCAACACCATCGCACACACTGTGAGTTACCACACACACAACACACACACACTGACCCCAACGCGACCAAAGTAATTATTGTATAGTGTTTGGCCATTCATTCCCATACTGAGCTCAGAGTAACCTGTTACCCTGTGGCCAGTCAGTGCCTCACAGTGTGGTGTGTGTGTATAGCCCTTATGCCAGGCTGGATACAGACAGAGGGTGACATAATCCCTACTGAGAGGTGGCAATAGGTAGAGGGCATATGTGGTCACTCTTTCTCCTTCTGTATCCCTCCCCCGTCTCTCTTTTTATCCCTCCCGCTCTCCTTCCACTACAGTAGTAAAAACCCTTAGTTGTAGTTGGCAGGATGTGTAAAGGCAGATGAATTCCAACTCTCAGGCCCTCTGTGCGTTCCATCTACAAATTACCTTGCATTCCCCAAAAAAATACTCATTGTGATTAGCGAATCCTCACAGAGCCTTGCTCAGGCCGATCCCCTCGAACACTCTTCCTCCATATACCAAAGCAACTGTGCTGCATATCTGGCCACAGGGCAGTATGGGTACTGAAGTTCTGTAGTTTGGCTCCCAGAGCAGTTTGGGTGCTGTAGTTCTATAGTCTGGCCCACAGGGCAGTATGGCTATTGTGGTTCAGTAGTCTGGCCCCAGGGCAGTATGGGTACTGTAATTCAGTAGTATGTGTCCGTCATCTACCTCTCATAATTATGCTAAGGTTCTATCTCACAGTCTGACAAACTGCCAACAGATTTAATCCAATTATACGTATGCTCTAAAGTGTGTGTCTCTGTGTGTGTGTGTGTCTCTGGGAATGTCTCTATGTGTATGCAGGACATCAACGCCCACGCATGTGTGACAGGGAAGCCCATCAGCCAGGGTGGTATCCACGGTCGTATCTCAGCCACCGGTCGCGGAGTGTTCCACGGCATTGAGAACTTCATCAACGAGGCGTCCTACATGAGCATGCTGGGCCTGACCCCCGGCTTCCAGGATAAGACCTTCATCATCCAGGTACATACACCCATAGACACACACACATACGTGCACGCATGCATACGCACGCTACACACACATACACACTTTATTTTGACGCCAAACCCTCCACTGGTGTGCATGGCCAAAGAGCTGTATTTTCATGTCATCTGACCATTGGACCGGCTCCAATCCAAGTGCCAATGGCGTTTAGCAAACTCCAGGCATTTACATTTGTTGGATGACATGAAAATAGAGGTCTTTGGCCACGCACAGCAATGGTGGGTTTGGCGTCGAATAAGGATGCATAAGCAGAAAACAACCCCATACCTACACTCTTAGAATTAGTGGTGATTCGAGGAACCCTGGAGTTCCTCATGGAACCATTGCTAGTCAATGGTTCATATTTGCACCTTCGGTTAGTTGAGGGGTTCTTGGAGGAACCTTTAATGGTTCAATGTAGCAATGGGTTCCAGAAGGAACCCTGGAGTGAAGGCATGGCTTAGTAGGGGATGGGCTTTAAGATATATTTTTTGGGCCACCCGCTAGAGTAAATGTAATTCTTGTTAATCTGTTCTGTTGTCTTGTCATCACATGTTAAGGTGAATGCTGACAGTTTTGTAGTTTCAATGAGCTAACCGATGTGTATGAGTTCCTCAAATCCCAATGTTGGAATAGTTCCCACTTTATTACTACGTAATCAGCTATGTTAATATTATATCAGAATATGTAATATACATAAATATTCAAGGAACGTTTTAATTAGCAGTGTACAAACTTAACATGATGAACAGGAATTACATTTTCGCTAACGGGTGACCAAAAATAACTATCTGAAAGCATCCAATAAGCCACGCCTCCAATCTGATAGGCTGCCACCTCTATATTATTAAAAAGGTTCAACATTTGCTTCCAATGGTCCTGGGGCCCTTGTTAAGGTCAACGGCATCATTAACTTTTATTCATGAACTTTTATTAATTTCTTATCATTAAACCATTCAAATCATTTTATTGTGCTGCTAAATGTACAGTGTGGGAAAAAGGTATTATATCCCCTGCTGATTTTGTACGTTTGCCCACTGACAAAGAAATGATCAGTCTATAATATTAATGGTAGGTTTGTTTGAACAGTGAGAGACAGAATAATAACAAAAAAATCAAGAAAAACCCATGTCAAAAGTGTTATAAATTGATTTGCATTTTAATGAGGGAAATAAGTATTTGACCCCCTCTCAATCAGAAAGATTTCTGGCTCCCAGGTGTCTTTTATACAGGTAACGAGCTGAGATTAGGAGCACACTCTTAAAGGGAGTGCTCCTAATCTCAGTTTGTTACCTGTATAAAAGACACCTGTCCACAGAAGCAATCAATCAATCAGATTCCAAACTCTCCACCATGGCCAAGACCAAAGAGCTCTCCAAGGATGTCAGGGACAAGATTGTAGACCTACACAAGGCTGGAATGGGCTACAAGACCATCGCCAAGCAGCTTGGTGAGAAGGTGACAACAGTTGGTGCGATTATTCGCAAATGGAAGAAACACAAAATTAACTGTCAATCTCCGAGTGTGTAGTATCCTATTCTAGATATTGCACAATCAAACAGAGAAACTAAGTGATTTCATCACAAAATAATTGCGGTATATGAAATCTCTGAAGCTATTATAAAAAATTATAATGTAAAGATACGTACAGTTGAAGTCGGAAGTTTATATACACTTAGGTTGGAGTCATTAAAACTAATTTTTCAACCACTCCACACATTTCTTGTTAACAAACTATAGTTTTGGCAAGTTGGTTAGGACATCTACTTTGTGCATGACACAAGTAATTTTTCCAACAATTGTTTACAGAAAGATTATTTCACTTATAATTCACTGTTTCCCAATTCCAGTGGGTCAGAAGTTTACATACACTAAGTTGACTGTGCCTTTAAACAGAAAATGATGTCATGGCTTTAGAAGCTTCTGATAGGCTAATTGACATCATTTGAGTCAATTGGAGGTCTACCTGTGGATGTATTTCCAGGCCTACCTTCAAACTCAGTGCCTCTTTGCTTGACATCATGGGAAAATAAATCAGCCAAGACCTCAGAAAAACAATTGTAGACCTCCACAAGTCTGGTTCATCCTTGGGAGCAATTTCCAAACGCCTGAAAGTACCACGTTCATCTCTACAAACAATAGTATGCAAGTATAAACACCATGGGACCACGCAGCCGTCATACTGCTCAGGAAGGAGATGCGTTCTGTCTCCTAGAGATGAACGTACTATGGTGCGAAAAGTGCTTATCAATCCCAGAACAACAGCAAAGGACCTTGTGAAGATGCTGGAGGAAACAGGTACAAAAGTATCTATATCCACAGTAAAACGAGTCCTATATCGACATAACCTGAAAGGCCGCTCAGCAAGGAAGAAGCCACTGCTCCAAAACGGCCATAAAAAAGCCAGACTACGGTTTGCAACTGCACATGGGGACAAAGATCGTACTTTTTGGAGAAATGTCGTCTGGTCTGATGAAACAAAAAATATAACTGTTTGACCATCGTTATGTTTGGAGGAAAAAGGCGGGAGGGCTTGCAAGCCGAAGAATACCATCCCGTCCATGAAGCGTGGGGTGGCAGCATCATGCTGTGGGGGTGCTTTGCTGCAGGAGGGACTGGTGCACTTCGCAAAATAGATTGCATCATGAGGAAGGAAAATTATGTGGATATATTGAAGCAACATCTCAAGACATCAGTCAGGAAGTTAAAGCTTGGTCGCAAATGGGTCTTCCAAATGGACAATGACCCCAAGCATACTTCCAAAGTTGTGGCAAAATGGCTTAAGGACAACAAAGTCAAGGTATTGGAGTGGCCATCACAAAGCCCTGACCTCAATCCTATAGGACATTTGTGGGCAGAACTTAAAAAGCGTGTGCGAGCAAGGAGGCCTACAAACCTGACTCAGTTACACCAGCTCTGTCAGGAGGAATGGGCCAAAATTCACCCAACTTATTGTGGGAAGCCTGTGGAAGGCTACCCGAAACGTTTGACCCAAGTTAAACAATTTAAAGGCAATGCTACCAAATACTAATTGAATGCATGTAAACTTCTGACCCACTGGGAATGTGATGAAATAAATAAAAGCTGAAATAAATCATTCTCTCTACTATTATTCTGACATTTCACATTCTTAAAATAAAGAGGTGATCCTAACTGACCTAAGACAGGGAATTTTTACTAGGATTAAATGTCTGGAATTGTGAAAAACTGAGTTTAAATGTATTTGGCTAAGGTGTATGTAAACTTCCGACTTCAGCTGTATATATACGACAATTGAATAGAGGATACCACATTACTTCTTACTACTTACACATTTCTTGTTTTAGAGACATTACAAACCATGCTCATCTGTTTTTGGTGTAATTATGGCAACAACAAAAATATTTGGCTGTTAAGAAATCTGAGTGGCTGGTAGATTTTTTTCATCTACCTGCCACAGTGGTTTGTGGACCATAACGTTACTTTCCCACCCTGAAGGTGAGGCATTGAAAGGTATTGAAAACGGGTGCTAATCATTTTGACCCCTATTTTTTTGTTGTTGAAAAATAGGATTACTTGTTAAACAAAATGTATTTCTCTGAGCAATTGTATTAGTATAAAATAATATAAGAAAAAATATATTTGCATATAAATATTTGTATTTATTTTATACAGTGTTTTTTGCTAATCTTTATCAATATTTTTGGATTTGACTGTACATACATACAGACGCAGACGCGCGCAGACACACACACACACACACACACACTTGCAGGCCCTCTGCCTTTATCAGCCTTTCGCTGTAATGAGCTGCGGAGGGTGTGCGACAAGGTATGTGTGTGTGTGTAGGTCACTTAGTGAAAGGGTGAATGTACTACAGATTAAGTTAGGATGAAAGTGAATGGCAACAGCAGTAGAGATCTGTTGATGTACTCGCATCTCGCTTGGTGCCTGATGCACAGACTGACTGACTAAACAGAGAGAGGTTGGAGATGAGGAATGTCTGTTTGTGTGTAGGGGTTGCAGGGAGAGGGGTGAGGTGGAGAGAGCTCACCCTGGGCCCTGCCGATCTGCTGTGTGTGTGTTTAGGGATAATCGCTGTGTGATTAGATTTTCTTGGAGATTTAGTGAGTACGCAGATGTGTGATGTCATCATGTAGCTAGCAGATGACAGAGAGAGTTGAGGAAAGGAGAGGCCAGATTTCTGCTGCAACAGAGGAGGGGATAATGGAGAGATAAACGGAGGAGAGGATAATGGAGAGATAGACGGAGGAGAGGATAATGGAGAGATAGACGGAGGAGAGGATAATGGAGAGATAGACAGAGGAGAGGATAATGGAGAGATAGACGGAGGATAGGATAATGGAGAGATGGACGGAGGAGAGGATAATGGAGAGATGGACGGAGGAGAGGATAATGGAGAGATGGACGGAGGAGATGATAATGGAGAGATAGACAGAGGAGAGGATAATGGAGAGATAGACAGAGGATAGGATAATGGAGAGATGGACGGAGGAGAGGATAATGGAGAGATGGACGAGGAGAGGATAATGGAGAGATGGACGGAGGAGAGGATAATGGAGAGATGGACGGAGGAGAGGATAATGGAGAGATGGACGGAGGAGATGATAATGGAGAGATGGACGGAGGAGAGGATAATGGAGAGATGGACGGAGGAGAGGATAATGGAGAGATGGACTGAGGAGAGGGTAATGGAGAGATGGACTGAGGAGAGGGTAATGGAGAGATGGACTGAGGAGAGGATAATGGAGAGATGGACTGAGGAGAGGATAATGGAGAGATGGACTGAGGAGAGGATAATGGAGAGATGGACTGAGGAGAGGATAATGGAGAGATGGACTGAGGAGAGGATAATGGAGAGATGGACTGAGGAGAGGATAATGGAGAGATGGACTGAGGAGAGGATAATGGAGAGATGGACTGAGGAGAGGATAATGGAGAGATGGACTGAGGAGAGGATAATGGAGAGATGGACTGAGGAGAGGATAATGGAGAGATGGACTGAGGAGAGGATAATGGAGAGATGGACTGAGGAGAGGATAATGGAGAGATGGACTGAGGAGAGGATAATGGAGAGATGGACTGAGGAGAGGATAATGGAGCGATGGACTGAGGAGAGGATAATGGAGAGATGGACTGAGGAGAGGATAATGGAGAGATGGACTGAGGAGAGGATAATGGAGAGATGGACTGAGGAGAGGGTAATGGAGAGATGGACTGAGGAGAGGATAATGGAGAGATGGACGGAGGAGAGGATAATGGAGAGATAGACGGAGGAAAGGAGCTGATCTCTTAGTATTTATAGACGTCAGCCACTGCTGCTCTGGACACGACTCAACTACAGTATCTATTGTGCAGGGCTTATAGCAGCGTTATATGTCTCAATACTCATCATAGTTAAAGCCACATTTCCCAGTTGTACCAGGTTTGGATAATATTTTATATTACCTGCTTTCAATCCTCTCGCTCTGCTTATTTGCTGTTTCAGTTTATTAGCTGTATTATCTGTGGCTGTGGCTTCTGCAGTGACAGAGGGGTCCACATGGGGGCGCTAGTGTCATGTGTCTGTAATGGAGCTGAGATCAGGCCTGGGGGGGGTGTTTCTGCACATGTGGTGGTAGTGATGATGATGGTGGTGTGTGTGTGTGTGTGTGATGATGATGATGATGATGATAATAATAATAATCTTTCTCCCTCTCCGTTTCTGTCTTCATTAGGGCTTTGGTAATGTGGGCCTCCACTCCATGCGGTACCTCCACAGGTACGGTGCTAAGTGTGTGGGCATAGCTGAGTATGACGGCAGCATCTACAATCCAGAGGGCATTGACCCCAAGCAGCTGGAGGACTACAAACTGGTAGGAATATTCTCTTACTCTCCTGCATTCTCTCTCCCTCTTCTTCTTTCCGTCTACCCTCTTCCTCCCTCTCTTGCTCTGAATATGAGCTGGCCAAGAAAGGCTTCTTCTCTCTCTTGCTTTGTACTAACCTGTATCTGTACGTGTCTGTGTCTGTGCGCAGCAACACGGTACGATCGTAGGTTTCCCCGGGGCTCAGCCGTATAAGGGCAGCCTCCTGGAAGCGCCGTGTCACATCCTGATCCCTGCCGCCAGCGAGAAGCAGCTCACACGCAACAACGCCCACAGAATCAAGGCCAAGGTACTACAGTACAGACAACACCCCTATCTAAATGACACTACCCACAATACCCTATTTTCCTCTAAAGTTTAAACTACACTACCCACAGTCCTCTGCTCTAGCCAGTGTTGTTTTTTAAAATGTTTGTTGTTTCTTCCAGATCATTGCTGAGGGAGCCAACGGCCCCACCACACCCGATGCTGACAAGATCTTCCTGGAGAACAAAGTCATGGTCATCCCTGTAAGAACACACACACACACACACACACACACACACACACACACACAACGCACACATACACACTCACCCCGACATGCATAAATCACACATTTGCATGTTAAGGCCATCATGCACACATTCACAGTATCTACAGTTCTCTCATTAACCAATCAAGAAGCTGAAGACTCACTCAACAATCCCAGACATAGATATTTAGCTGTTTACACTTCTGTGTGTGTTTCTCCCTCCCCAAGGACATGTACCTGAACGCCGGTGGTGTGACAGTGTCCTACTTTGAGTGGCTCAAGAACCTGAACCATGTCAGCTACGGACGTCTCACCTTCAAATATGAGAGAGACTCCAACTACCATCTTCTCAGTAAGTCCTGACCTCTTACATCTGACCCACAACCTCTCACCTTCAAATACAAGAGAGATTCCCACTACCAATGTATTCGGAAAGTATTCAGACCCCTTGACTTTTTCCACATTTTCTTACATTACAGCCTTATTTTCCTCATCAATTTACACACAATACGTCATTATGACAAGGCGAAAACAGGTTTTTAGAAATTTTTGCATATGTATTACAAATAAAAAACATACCTTTTCAGACCCTTTGCTTTGAGACTCGAAATTGAGCTAAGGTGCATCCTGTTTCCATTGATCATCCTTGAGATGTTTCTACAACTTGATTGGAGTCCACCTGTGGTAAATTCAATTGATTGGACATGATTTGGAAATGCACACACCTGTCTATATGAGGTCCCACAGTTGACAATGCATGTCAGAGCAAAAACCAAGCCATGAGGTCGTAGAAATTGCTCGTAGAGCTCCGAGACAGGATTGTGTCAAGGCATAGATCTGGGGAAGGGTACGGAAAAATGTCTGAAGCATTGAAGGTCCCCAAGAACACAGTGGCCTCCATCATTCTTAAATGGAAGAAGTTTGGAACCACTAAGACTCTTCCTAGAGCTGGCCACCCAGCCAAACTGAACAATCGGGGGAGACGGTCCTTGGTCAGAGAGGTGACAGAGCTCCAGAGTACCTCTGTGGAGATGGGGGAACCTTCCAGAAGGACAACCATCTCTGCAGCACTCCACCAATCAGGCCTTTATGGTAGAGTGGCTAGACGGAATCCACTCCTCAGTAAAAGGCCCATGACAGCCCACTTGGAGTTTGCCAAAAGGCACCTAAAGGACACTCAGACCATGAGAAACAAGATTCTCTGGGCTGATGAAACCAAGATTGAACTCTTTGGCCTGAATGCCAAGCATCACGTCAGGAGGAAACCTGGAACCATCCATGGTGAAGCATGGTGGTGGCAGCATCATGCTGTGGGGATGTTTTTCAGCGGCAGGGACTGGGAGACTAGTCAGGATTGAGGGACTGATGAATGGAGCAAAGTACAGAGAGATCCTTGATGAAAACCTGCTCTAGAGCGCTCAGGACCTCAGACTGGGGCGAAGGTTCACCTTCCAACAGGACAACGACCCTAAGCACACAGCCAAGACAACGCAGGAGTGGCTTCTGGACAAGTCTCTGAATGTCCTTGAGTGGCCCAGCCAGAGCCCGGACTTGAACCAGATCGAACATCTCTGGAGAGACCTGAAAATAGCTGTGCAGCGACACTTCCCATCCAACCTGACAGAGCTTGAGAGGATCTGCAGAGAAGAATGGGAGGAACTCCCCAAATTCAGGTGTGCCAAGCTTGCAACGTCATACCCAAGAAGACACAAGGCTGTAATTGCTGCAATAGGTGCTTCAACCAAGTACTGAATAAAGGGTCAGTTTTTTATTTGTTATACATGTACCGTAATTTTCGGACTATAAGCTGCGCCTTTTTTCCCATTTTTCGACCCTGCGGCTTATATAACGGTGCGGCTAATCTATGGATTTTTACAGCTAACGGCCACTAGAAGACCTCCTAAATCTATGGATTTTACAGGTTACAGTCCACCAACTTTAACTCTATGGGCTCTATGACTGGTCCGCAACCCCCACCTTTAAGCGGCGGGCTCCAGCAGGAAAAGCTGGAGGCCGGAAAAGAGTGAGACAGGTAGCGCGCAAAAGTAAAAGTGGAACCGAGAGTGGTACGAGAGACAGAACGAGAGCAAGACAGTTTGTGCAAATGATGTTTTCATGCACAAACCCTCATTATGGAAAACAAACGTAGAAATGCATATGATGCAGCTTTTAAGTTAAAGGCAATCAATCTGGCTGTAAAAGAAGGAAATAGAGCTGCTGCACGTAGCCTTGGCATCAATGAGTCAATGGTGAGACGTTGGAGACGCCAGCGGGAAGAACTGTCTCAATGCAAAAAGTCAAAAAAAGCTTTCAGAGGTAATAAAAGCAGATGGCCCGAACTTGAAGACTTACTTGAAGATTGGGTGAACACACAGAGAGCAGACGGCCGAGGTGTTTCCACCGTGCAGATCCGACTGAAAGCTTAAACAGTCGCCACCGAAATGAAAATTGAAAATTTTAGAGGTGGACCATCCTGGTGTTTCAGATTTATGAGACGAAAGGGACTGTCCATCAGGGCGCGGACGACTGTGTGTCAGCAACTCCCTCCCGACTACCAGGAAAAAATAACAAACTTCCACGAATTCACACAAAGAAAGATAGAGGAATACTCCATCGGACCGGACCAGATCATAAATATGGATGAAGTGCCTTTGACGTTTGACCTGCCTCTCACTAGGACTGTTAACAAGAAAGGTGAATCATCCATCACGTTGAGAACCACTGGCCACGAGAGAACGAATTTCACTTGTGTTCTTGGCTGCACAGCATCTGGATTAAAGCTTCCGCCAATGGTGATTTTTAAGCAGATTACAATGCCAAAAGAAAAGATCCTGAACGGCATCTCCTTTAAAGTCAACAAGAAAGGGTGGATGATGGAAAGCGTAATGAATGAGTGGCTGAATGATGCTACGTCAAACGCCCTGGAGGATTCTTTCGCCAAAAAAAAGCTTTGCTCGTTTTGGACAGCATGAGGGCCCATATAACGGATTATGTGAAAGCAGCCATCAAGAGCACAAACTCGATTCCCGCTGTGATTCCTGGGGGCACAACGAAGCATCTGCAGCCACTCGACATCAGTGTCAATCGTGCGTTCAAAGTGGCACTACGCGTTCAGTGGGAGGCGTGGATGACTAGCGGCGATAAATCATTCACCAAAACTGGTCGCATGCGAAAAGCAACTTTCGCTCAAGTTTGCGAGTGGATCCTGATAGCGTGGAGGAGTGTCAAAACATCCACGATCATTAACGGGTTCCGAAAGGCTGGACTGCTGCGTGATGAAGAGGAGGACGCCGCCACAGCTGAGGCCCTTCAGAGGCTGTTCGATTCTGACAGTGACGAAGAGGAGTTCGTTGGTTTTGAGAGCGACAACGAGGGAGAGAGGAGAGTGGCTGACGAAGCCACACTGAGCCTGTTCGTTTCCGACACAGAAGATGAGGACTTTGGTGGTTTTAGTACGCAGGAAGAAGACGGAGATGAGGATTAATGACTTGACTTTTCTGGTTACAGCTGTGTACTGCACCTTAGTCTAAAAGATGAAGACGAGGATTAATGACTTTTCTGGTAGGCTGATTACCGTATATTTTAAGCAGCCGTGTTGCTGCAACTTTAGGCTTACGCGCTTACTGTCGTGTTACAGGCACTTTATTTTGCACTTTAAAAAAAACACATTTCATTTAGCCATTGATATTGCCTCGTCAAGCGCTGTAAGCTTTGTTTTTTGTTATGGTACTACTGTAGGCTATAATGTAGATAAATATTCAAAGATGTGCACACTTTTTCAAGGTTTTTCAAAAATAACCAAAGTTAAGTGGTTAAATGATTGTGACGCTATTAATTAATTTTGCTGGGGAACCCCTAGCACTCCCTCAAGGACCACTGGTTGAAAACCACTGCTGTAGATCACTGCCGTTTAAGTTTGAAAGTTGAAAAGTTTGTGTGTCTGAAACGCTATGTGATACAGTACAGTTTACACAGCACAGTATATGTTCTGTAGCTACTATTGCACTAAATGGTAACACTTGAATACGTTATGCAAATATGCAACTTGTTTGTTGAAATGTTAATAAATGGGAGCTTCCTCAAGCAGCCATCTCTTTCCCGACAATCCCCTCTGTGCACGAACGCTTACATATGGTAATTAAACATTAAAACACCTGCGGCTTATAGTCCAGTGCGGCTTATATATGTACACATCATTCAATTTAGCTGCTGCGGCTTATACTCCGGTGCGCCTTATAGTGCGGAAAATACGGTAAAAAAAATTCTAAAAACCAGTTTTTGCGTTTTCAGTATGGGGTATTGTGTGTAGATTGATTGAGGGGAAAAAAACAGATTTAAATCAATTTTAGAATAAATCTGTAACGTAACAAAATGTGGAAAAAGTCAAGGGGTCTGAATACTTTCCGAATGCACTGTAAAGTATGTCCTGACTCCTGACACTTGTTAAATCAAACTTTATTCGAAATGCATTGAAAAAATCTTCATACATTTTAGAGCACACATTATGAAACAAAATAAAACACATATTGCTGGGGAAATTCAAAGGGACCACCACCTTTTGCTTTAAGCGCTTTATCGTTGGGAAAGTGCTAAACTATAGCCAAAGCAAGATAATGATGATTGTGAGCACTTATGAATGCATTTTTCTTACAAGCTCAATAAAAAACACAAACATTAAAGGTAGAAGATACAACATTAAAATAAATACATAAAATAAGGTGAGAGGAACAGACCAAAGCAGGCTATAGAATAATTGTTCATAAAATGTTACATCCCGTAAAATAATGTTTCTCTTCTGATCTGCCCTGGAATGTTCAGTGCTACCCCTGACCTCCTTCCCCCTCTTCCTTTATTTCCTCCTTTATTTCTTCCTCTTTTATGTGCTCGCTCTCTTTTTCCTCCTGCTCTCCTCTTTCCTCAATGCTTAGCTCTGATATATACTTCTCGAGACCATTGACACTTTCCTTCAGGGCTGGGAAATCTCGCGGGAATATCTTTAACGTCTCACTATTACCCTGCACCATGATTGTCCCAGTATTATACACATTTATAGTGCCTGCATTCGTTTTCAGTTGTGTGCCATCTTGAATTTCTTTCCACTGTTCTCCCTCAGGATAGCGTTTTAGTATTTCCTCTTTCCATGTAGAACATTTTGTTGTATAGAAAATGAGGTCGCAAGGAGCCGTTTGTCTTTCATCACGATATAAAGTCTCTGGATTTCTCTTCAAAAATTCTTTTTTGTATTTTTTCATTTTTTTTTCATCTGTCATCCCCTCAGGGTAGTCGATGAGGGGGGGCAATATGTCCAGTTGTTCTGCCTCTGCCATTTCTAGGCCTGGCAACTAGATTTCCTTTGACTGTTTGTTTACTGCCACCTGTAATAAAGATGAATGTTAATGTATTTATTTATTTATTTACAAAAAAAGCCCTGTCTAAATATTAGGAGCAGGACCCTATATTTCTTTAATCTGTACTCACTCTGGAGCTAATTATCCGCTTTCGGATCTCGTCTCTCTGTCCGTAGAAGATCTGTGTTCGTTCAGTTCTGAAGCCTTTTCCTCTTCCTTTAATGAGCCAACCTCGGTGTAGCAGGAGATACAGTACTGTGTCCTCTCTCTTGTAAATTGTCTCAGTTTTTTCAGAGTTGTAAGGACAACTGTAACTGGCAATATTTCTGCTGGTTACGCCCGTATATATAGTAGGTTAAGGTGATGTGCCAGATAGAAAGATAGATGGATAGCCTTTCTGACGTTGATGTCTCCACTGAAAGAAAACGATACTGATCTGAAATGTGTGAGTGAACCCAGATGGATGTTGATTGTCTGGATAAACTTGCAAATGAGATGGTTGTCAATGATCAGGTTACATTGCTACATTGCCATCTAACTATTTATCTCTCTCTCTCTACCTCTCTGTCAGTGTCCGTTCAGGAGAGTTTGGAGAGGAAGTTCGGAAAGCAGGGAGGACCAATCCCCGTTGTCCCCACCGCTGACTTCCAGGCCAGAGTCGCTGTGAGTACACACACACACACACACACACACACACACACACACACACACACAAACAACCTATGTGGTATGGAAATGATGTAGTGTGTTGGGAGTTTGATAACACATCTTTCCTTCCTCTCTCCACTACAGGGTGCTTCTGAGAAGGACATTGTTCACTCTGGTCTAGCCTACACCATGGAGAGATCTGCCAGGGTAAGAGTGTGTGCATGCGTACATGTATGCGTGTTTGTGTGTTTGCGTGTGTTTGTGAGGTTAGTGCCAATGAGTCAGATCCTAGAATTTAATTATATGTTCTCTATGAGTCAGACTGTGATAATGACAGTGCCCCCACCCTGGCCTGGGGCACCTCTCAACCACACCACCATGTGTCTGTGTATATTTGTGTCAGTGTGTGTGACTGGTTTTGCCAGTGTAACTGGTATCTAACTAGTGTTTGTGTGTGGTTGTGTGTTTTGTCCCCCTGTAGCAAATCATGCGTACGGCCAGTAAGTACAACCTGGGTCTGGACCTGCGGACGGCTGCGTACGTCAACGCCATCGAGAAGGTGTTCAAGGTCTACAACGAGGCCGGCATCACCGTCACATAATCACCCTTTCAAAGTCAGACCCCTCCCATACTGCCCTGCTAGTGGTTCCACCGCTTCCCCATCGGCCAATCAGCCTTTAGAACATTTTAGCGTTTACATTAGAGATCCTCGCCTCCCCTTCATACACACACGCGCATACACGCACGCATACAGACGCACACAGACACACACGCATACACACACACTGACACGTACTGTGTTTTGTGTCCCATGATCTCGCCATATCTACCAGTATCATGTCAGTAACTCAGTATCTCTGTCTCGTTCTGTTTCAGTATTGTCAATCAGTTTTTTGTATATTGTGAAAGGAGCAGGTTGTAGCAGGAAGCTAGCTACGCTGAGAGAGATTTAAAACAATCCCCCCCCCCCCCCCCCCCTTCCGTTGCTATCAGAGTTCCCTGTCTGCCTTTGTCTTGTTTGACCCTGGTGTTGCCATGGTTTCAGACCACAGCACTGAAGATGCCTTAGCTCTGACGGACCTCTGTACTGAAGAGACGCACATACACCACTATACTGTACTTTAAAAAAAGGAAATAGATTTAAACTTTATACCAGGGAAAGGTGATATCATATACAGTATCTCACAAAAGTGAGTACACCCCTCACATTTTTGTAAATATTTGAGTATATCTTTTCATGTGACAACACTGAAGAAATGACACTGGGCCCAAAGTGTCAATATTTTGTGTGGCCACCATCATTTTCCAGCACTGCCTTAACCCTCTTGGGCATGGAGTTCACCAGAGCTTCACAGGTTGCCACTGGAGTCCTCTTCCACTCCTCCATGACGACATCACGGAGCTGGTGGATGTTAGAGATCTTGCACTCCTCCACCTTCCGTTTGAGGATGCCCCACAGATGCTCAATAGGGTTTAGGTCTGGAGACATGCTTGGCCAGTCCATCACCTTTACCCTCAGCTTCTTTAGCAAGGCAGTGGTCGTCTTGGAGGTGTGTTTGGGGTCGTTATCATGTTGGAATACTGCCCTGCGGCCCAGTCTCCGAAGGGAGGGGATCATGCTCTGCTTCAGTATGTCACAGTACATGTTGGCATTCATGGTTCCCTCAATGAACTGTAGCTCCCCAGTGCCGGCAGCACTCATGCAGCCCCAGACCATGACGCTCCCACCACCATGCTTGACTGTAGGCAAGACACACTTGTCTTTGTACTCCTCACCTGGTTGCCGCCACACACGCTTGACACCATCTGAACCAAATAAGTTTATCTTGGTCTCATCAGACCACAGGACATGGTTCCAGTAATTCATGTCCTTAGTCTGCTTGTCTTTCTTGTGCATCATCTTTAGAAGAGGCTTCCTTCTGGGACTACAGCCATGCAGACCAATTTGATGCAGTGTGCAGCGTATGGTCTGAGCACTGACAGGCTGACCCCCCACCCCTTAAACCTCTGCAGCAATGCTGGCAGCACACATACGTCTATTTCCCAAAGACAACCTCTGGATATGATGCTGAGCACGTGCACTCAACTTCTTTGGTCGACCATGGCGAGGCCTGTTCTGAGTGGAACCTGTCCTGTTAAACCGCTGTATGGTCTTGGCCACCGTGCTGCAGCTCAGTTTCAGGGTCTTGGCAATCTTCTTATAGCCCAGGCCATCTTTGTCTTTTTCAGATCCTCAGAGAGTTCTTTGCCATGAGGTGCCATGTTGAACTTCCAGTGACCAGTATGAGGGAGTGTGAGAGCGATGACACCAAATTTAACACACCCGCTCCCCATTCACACATGAGACCTTGTAACACTAACGAGTCACATGACACCGGGGAGGGAAAATGGCTAATTGGGCCCAATTTGGACATTTTCACTTAGGGGTGTACTCACTTTTGTTGCCAGCTGTGTGTTGAGTTATTTTGAGGGGACAGCAAATTTACACTGTTATACAAGCTGTACACTCACTACTTTACATTGTAGCAAAGTGCCATTTCTTCAGTGTTGTCACATGAAAAGATATACTCAAATATTTACAAAAATGTGAGGGGTGTACTCACTTTTGTGAGATACTGTATGTTCCTCAGTTTTCCTCACAGAGGGGTTAGAGGTCAGGGCCCGTATCCACAAAGCATCTCAGAAAAGGTCATAGAAATCCTGTTATAACCTGTTTTAAGACAACAACATAACTCCCAGCTCAGAGTAGGTTTTAGGATGATGTTAAGACACTGGTCAGACAAACTCTGAGCCTGGAGTAAAATCAAGTTTATCATAGCTGGTAATCACGATAGTTTGAGGTACTGCAAAGGGAAGATAGTGATGACGCTCATTGCCATTGTTGTAAATGATGGGCAATAACCAATCAAGATGAGGCATTGGTAGCTGTGAACTCTAAATAGCACACATACATCAAATGTTGTAATGGTAAAACGTTTCATATATTTTTCGCCTGACACGATCACTTTGCGTATTTTTTTATTATTTGCCTAATATGTTGGCATGCGTAATCTTTCTTTTAAATCCAATTCTGATGGTTGTTAAAAGCTCAATTTTACCGTTATATCAACACACTCGTTGTCACTAGTTTAACAACTCTAAATCGCTTTGGTACAGTAGGCATCAAGTCACTTGCCGATAATGTTGCATACAACGTTTGAAAGGTCTGTCATTTTCATTGAACACAATCAAAGTTTACATAACAGAGTGAAAAACTAACAGACAACTAGTCAAAGCTCAAACCAAGTTTATTCACCCACTGGGACTAGGACTGACCCTTGATCCCCTCATCATACCATTTACAATGATGGATTTCTGTCTCAGTCCCTAAATGAGTCTGTAAGTATGCCTTCATCTGCTCATATGCCTCTTCTTCCCCCTGACGCTTGACTGTAAGAATAGTTTGGTTCCCATATTCACCCCTTACGATGTTGTCCAGAGTATAATTACCCCAACAAGCTATCTTTCCACAGGTTCGTGGTCTGCTGGTGTCTAAATCCTTCCCTGACCACTTCAGTCCCTTAGTTGCTGTACTGAAGGGCATCACTGGTGAATAGAACCTTGTTTTACGCAATAGCACTTCCCCCACACCATCCTTTGCTGCTCTATCGTCAGCAACGGTTGTGTCAATGTTTTCAACCTCCTGAAATGTTTTTAGTTCTGGTAGCACTAGTCTGAAAGTTATCAACTGACCTTCAGCTGATTTAGAACCGTGGCACATTATGTCCATCTGAGGCAAAAGAGAAATTCTAGTTTAGTTCTTTAGTCTCTGTCATTACGTTCCTTCTACACTCCTGTCTGTAATAAAACTACACCTAGTTCTGAACAGCCTACGTCCAATGTACTAGTCCTGTTATCAAGTGGCTCCACCCAGATCACCATACCTTTGTGATTAGTGACCTGTCTGGTATCAGTAGTGTTAGTACTGACTCTACCCCAATGCATTCTCATGTCAAATACATTTACACAGAAATCATTCCATCTAACCCATAACGCGTTAGTCACTGCTAGTCCACTTATATAAGTTATAAACATACTAAAACATGCTCAAGTCATTTAGTCAGTTTCCAACAATCCCTCATCTGGAACAATGATCACTCATGTTCCACGCCACCTAGAAAACATCAGCCGGTTAGAGGGGGTGAGGCTCACACTGTTCTCTGTCGAATTATCCCTTCCATGCAACTAGATACCATCTGGAGTCACTAGTCACTATCGCCATAACCTTGAGAGAGGACAGACCACAACAACAGTTTAAGGCATTTCTGATTCTGGAAATCCAGACAAACTATTCACCAATGACAAATTATTACATTCTCAATTTTGTTAATACCAACATTTCTAAGACAATTGTCAAAGAGCATAACAACACACTGTTGAAACCATTTTGCAAATTGGCTTATACTCCCTTATCATACTGGCGACCTCACCGCAGAGTTACGGGGTCAGGAAGTTAGGGAGAAATCCCGACCATACAGCAGACCCAATCTGGTGAGATTTGTATTGAAACAAAGACAACAGCAATACACTTCTTCATATTATACTTAAATCTCACCCAATGTCTCTATAATTTATAGTGAAGGTGATTAGGCCTCACCAGAAAGTCAGGACAAAGGTCATTGAACACCATTAAGTATTTTCTTTCCCTGTACTTCAGACTACTTATTTTAAAACATTTCAAACATTTCCGTTATTCTGCTTACCCGGTTTGCATTATGTTTTTCAGTACCTATCTTATTAGGAGAATTTGCATGGGTCCAACCAACATTCGAACAATAGATAGTTCAGAAAATGTCATTTGTGTGCCCTTTTAAAGTGCATCCTTTCTAACCCATGAAGAACCTACTAAAACCAAATGAAAAGACCCCACACAATTAAATCAGACACAGTATTAACACCACTAACAAATATTCATAAATGGTGGGTTGCATGTGCTGTGTGTGTGGTAAAACGTAGGGCAAAAACAAACAAATGGCCAGGCCTTACTTAATTGGGAGTTCCCTTTACGGCCGGATCCGGGTACCTTTATACTTTTATAAAACTGCAGAATTTCCCTAACTGCTCTCCCAAGACAACAGCCTTGGGAAACATTTCAAAGAGAGAGATAAGGACACCCTATCCTCTCCTGGAAGAGAAAGTGTACATTTCGTTAGTATTCACTATGCTAAATCTTAATCAGCAACACAAAGGTTTTAATTACAAACAAAACAAACATAAGTCCACTGTCCTCCCTCCAATCATTAATCGTTTGTTTTAAGCCATCCCAATGTTTATGTAGCCTGTAATACCCTTAGACACGGCGGCATTCCTCTCGCCACCGAGTCTAACGATTTACTCCCGTATATGACTGGTCTCTCTTTTCCCCATGATTTTGCGTAAACACTACAACATTTTAAAAGGTCATTTTAGGTTTGGTAACCCCAATGCTGTCGCTTGACAGAATTGCTTTTTCAAAACTCTACAAACAATTACTCACAATATTAACTCCACTCTAATTTCTCGTGACCCTCCTCCCTTTCGTCAATTCTATAAAGCTATTTGAGAATAAGACGGAATAAA